TTTACCTTCACACTCAACTCTAGCATATATAGATATCCAATAAATATCTGTTGAATTGTGGATGAAAAGCAATATGATGTAATGATTAAGCACATATTATTGGGAGTCAGATGAACCTGAGTTCAAATCCAGGCTCTACCTCTTATAACCAGTGTGATCTTGGACTTAACCCGTGTCTTTGACTTATTTCATGCCTTTGTCTGTGAAATGTTGTTATATACATAATTCTTAGGGTTCTTACATAATGTATATGTCTTGAATATTTTTGTATGTTACATTATCTTTTATAATAATAACTATTATTAACAGTACCATTATTTCTCATAATGAAAATTTTGAAAAATATTACAGATATTACATGTGTATTATTTTATGGCTCCAGTTTATTTTGCTATTAATTTGTTGTTGTTGTTGTTTGTTGCTATGGTATTGACAGTAATGTTGGAGTGATTTTCTGATAGTCAGCACAGAATTACCTAGACTCTGTGATAAGTATCACTGAGGTCCAACAACTTCACAGATGTGTGTATTCTCGTTTTGGACTGAGCTGAGATTAGGAGAGGTTAAACAGTTAACAGCATTGCCTTTAGTTCGACAGCCTTAAAGAAACAAAGCCTTGCTACCACCAAAGCCCATCCAGAGCCTCTTGGAGCATCGCTTATTGGGTCCAAGGATCCAAGGAGATGGACCATAATTTCAGTGAAGCAGTGGTTCTCAGGCTTTAGCATCCATCAGAATAATTTGGAGGCCTGTTTATACAGATTGCTGTGCTTTACCCCCAGAGTTTTGGATTCAGTAGGCCTGGAGCAGAACCCCAGTGTTTCATTTCTAATGAGTTCTCCCCTGATACCGATAATGGTGTTTTGGGGAACACACTTTGAGAACCACTGGGGTGACAGATATAGTTGAAGCCTGAGTAATCTGACTCCAGAGCGAAACCTAGGCAGAAACCTTTTCACTAAAGTGAACTGCCTGATAACCCCTATAAAAATGAAGGCTTCCTATTTTCAGCCCCCATGTTTTCTACTCTGCACTGCCCTTTTCTTACTTTTAAATTTATTGGTTGGGGAAATGGTTTCATGAAGTTGTTTTTAAATTTTATGAGCCTGATAAAATCTATAGACACTCTCTCCAGAAAAGCCATTTACACATTGCTTATAATTTCTGGAGGCTCTTGGCACCGCCTCCACCAGCCCACCCGCTGACCCTCTGAAGTATCAGTTAAAAAAAGTATGCCCTAAGGCAGTCTCAAGTTTACTCAAATTCCCTTCTCATGCTTTATCCGTTTGGTTAAGTATATTTATCTGTAAAATAGAAATAATAGTAATAATTCTTATCGCAAAGATTATGAAAATTAACTGGTTAATACGTGGAACAGCCTAGTTTGAAAACCAAAACCACCAGTGTTACCTTTTCTCTCTCTTTGTAGTCCTACTAAAACAATCCTCCTTCTTGAGGCAAATGGGTGCCTCCTTCTCACTATAAGCCGGGAAACCAGGAAGTGTAAGAAAGAAGAGCCCAGAGAGTAATATTACAGGATCTACTCTGTGCCTGTTGCATTCTTTTGCTAAACTCTGGTCAGTCTGCCATATTATGGTTCCTTCTGTGAGTCACTGAGCAACACAAGCCTGGCTCTGTGACCTGAGACTCTCAATAATTCAATTATCCTCAAATACTCCACTTTGCCCAATCTCTTCTCATTCCCCCATATTAATTCCTCCAGTCAGAAAGACAAAAATGTAAAATTCTAATAGGGGCTCATTTTCATACTAAAAGACACTGAGTCTTGAGAAATAGTGATTAAAGATTAAGTTTAATTCTCATTGTTTCTGTAAAAATAAATAACTATGGTGATAGGCTAATCAGTAGATATTTATTTAGTTCCTACTGTATACACTGTGCAAGAGATGACATAAAGAGGAATAACACATGCTTCTATGCTGTGCTGACTCACAGTCAGACAAGGAAGTTAGGTACAGCAAAAATAAACCAAACATAAATAGAACCATAGCAAGGACAATGATTATTCTCACACAGTGTTTCAGGAGTACAGGAGAGGAGAAATAATGTTGACAGGGATCCATAAAAGTCTCTTGGGCAATGTGAGATTTAAGCTGGACCCTGCTGTTGGTGAATATGAGGGAGAAGGACATTCTAGGCTGTGGGGACAGTCTGGAGAAAAGCAAGGAATTAGAAAAAAGCTTGGTATAAACGTGTGATATTATGATTTGGCCATTGTGACCATAGTATGGGTTTGAGGGTAAAGGTTTAGAAAGTAAGGCTACAAAGATAAGATGAAAGCATATTGTAGGAAAGAAACTAAAGGCCAACTGGGGAGCTTTGCTTTCCTCTCCATGCAGTGGGGAAGAACTGAGGTCTCTGAGTATAAAGATACCCAAAGCAGCTCTGTTTTTATAAACATAGACTCCTGGTGGCCCTGAGAGGAACAGACAACAGAGAGCAAGGATAAAGCAAGACCTGATAAAGGTGATGGGGATCTGAACTAAAGCCAGAGAAGTGGGAGTAGCATGAAGGGGACAAAGAAGAGTGGCATTTGAGAGGCTGCATTCACTTCGGGATGGTAGACGACATGTAGCAAAGGAAGCTGAGGCAAACTGAGCGGCCCCCCAGGCCAAGTTGCTACATAAAGCAGACCATGATCTCAGAGGCATGGTCTCTACCTCTTGGCCATCCCAAGAAGACTTCTTCTTCCTAGAATGCTCAGAGGAGAGCAACTGACCATCTGCTTCGCCTGCATGCAATATCAAAATCAGTGACTGCAGACATGGATGCTCAGCATAGCAGCTCCAGAAGTCTTTTAAACAACTTTTGGGCACTTTTCCAGGTGAATCTGATCTGGGAACTCAATGTAGGTTGGAGGTTGGGCCCAGGTGTCCATATTTTTGAAAAGCCCCCAGGTGATTCCGATGCAGAGCTGGATTTGGGAACTACCGTGGGAAATGTATAGAAAACACAGAGTCAGGACATAGTGCCCGTGGATGCTATGATGGCTTGAGACTTTAGGTTTTGGTCTCCAACAAAGTCTCAAGCACCTCGACCTTCACCTTCATTCCTCATCCTCAGCAAACACATCAGGAGACAGGAGAGGCTGGATGTGTGACAAGTTCTCTGAACTTCCCAGGACAATGGGCACTCACACCATCCTTTCTCACTCTTGTCCTCAACTGAAATAAAAGAGAGCTTGGCTGCACCATAGACAAGTCAATGAGAGAGTCTTATTACAGGATGTTTTCAGTCTTTAGACTACCCATTTTCTGCCAGGCTGTACAACACCCATAGGACTTTCATTGCTATTATTGTTTTTATTCCTCAGAAAAGTCATACAGTTCAAAGGTAAGGCAGGTTTTAAAAACATTCCTTCTATACTCCAGGCTCTGTGGGACTGGGGCAGAGTCAGACAGCCAGAGCGGGTCCTGAATCCACTGCCCTCCGGAGCTCCAGTTCCGCTCCTGTGCCATAACGGAGAAGGGCAACATAAAGGCATTTTTCTCTCCTTGTAAAGAGAAAAAGTGAGGTGAAGGGGATTATTTAAACACACCTCACTCACACTGCACTCACTGCATTGTTTTTCCTGTTGAAACACCCTGTTGATTTTTAAATCCCTTTAAACCTACCGGCACCTGTATGGCCTGGATCCAAGAATTATTACCGAACCTCTCACTTTTTATATCTAGCCACATAGGAGTTTCTGTGATGGCATCTGGCTCTTGGTTCAGCCGAAAATTTCAAAGCTTCAGAAGTTTTCTTCTTGCATAGAACTAGAGGCATGCAGTGCTCAGACCTGATTTTTTTTTTTTTTTTTTATTAAGCAGCAATGTTTCCCCCTTTTAGTTCTCCTGCTGGATAAAATAGTATCGTGGCATAACCTGAACTGTTCCCCTGTACAGACACCTCTGAAATACGTCTTGACCAAAAGGGAGGGTAGGGGACAGATGGGGGGTCTCTGCCAGCAGCTTATGGTATGTGAGGTGACCTGTCTCCAGGGCAAGAACTGAGTCTGAAACATAATGAGGACTTCCCAGAAAATTCATTATAACAAAGCATAATGTGAGCTCACTGGGCACGAAAATAAGCTGAGGGAAAAGGGACTCCCACAGAAGACCTAATTAAATACTTTGATGTCAGAAAGCAGAGCAGGGAGGGGTGGAAAATCAAATCAGACCGAAGTAACTGGTAAAGACTTAAATTTAAATGGAAAGAAGAAATGTTTCTCTCCCCTCCCGCCCTCCTTCTCTCTCACTCACACCCGCATTCCCTTCAGCCTCTCTCTGTGTCCCTGTCTCTCTCCTTTTCTTCCTATGTTAGGAAGGAAGAATAAGGTTCGGGAACAATAGGTTGTAAATTCTTTAGCCAATTAGCCCAGTGACTTACTACTGTTTATAACGCACAGAATCTCACAGGCTGCTTTGCGGCCTCCCCAAGTTGGTTTGTTAATAACAGGAAGCTAGCACTTCTCAGTACAGTGGATCAGCCACACGTGAAAATAAATGCAAAAAACCTGGAGGGGAATGGGAGCAGACCGAGAGTAGCCTTGATTTAATTTAACGTTTGGGGGTCCGCACACAAATGAGCATTTTAGTAGGCTTCATGGTGGAAGTTGCTGTCATTTGTAAAATATTCTGGCCAATTAGCTAATAGTGTGCTTGGATTTCTCCTGTTTTGATACAGTAATACTAAGTACATTGTGAAGCCCAATTATACAAATCATCCCCATATGCCATACCAGTCTCTCTTTATGAACTGTGTTTATAAATCCTGTGTGAGGAAATGTGTACTTCAGCAATTTAGACCATGTGTAAAAACATGGCCAATGGGATCGTCAAGAAAACAAGTTCCAGCCTAGGAAGTTCTAATGTGTTCCGCTGGAATAGCAGGAGGGTGCCGGGGCGCGGGGCTCTGCTTAAATCTGTATTGCCTCGGTGTTTAGCCGACTTAGGGGCTTCCGCTTCCCTTCCTGTGATTGTGTTCTTTTCTTCTAGGACCCAACCTTGGAGTTTTTGAGAAAATTCGGGATCGGTCTCCTCTCGGGCACAATAGCCTCAGTCATTAACATCCCTTTCGATGTTGCCAAAAGTAGGATTCAAGGGCCTCAGCCGGTTCCTGGAGAGATCAAGTACAGAACCTGTTTTAGAACAATGGCCACAGTCTCTCAGGAAGAAGGGTAACACACTCTTAACTTAATAAATGAGCAGCCCTCAAGGATTGTCCAGACCATATTATACTTACTGCCATTACGATGAGAGCCATTAAGCCCTGCTAAGTTGGGGGTGTGTCTGAGAAGCACTGGGGAGTAGATGACAAACTTTGCCAGATAATGTAGAAATGAGATGTTGGCAAAACATTCTTATACTGTCAAGAACCGTGAGCCACCACTATGCAACATGCTGCATTTTTGCCTTAGAATGCTAAGGTGACTTTTGCTTGCTAGTTTGCATAAAATGTCACTGCATATGGTATGCCCTATGAACACATGGGCCAGGGAGCCATTGTCTTCGGTCTGTAAATCTAATCAAAATGTCACCTAAACATATTCTCCTGGGACAATAAAACATGAGAGTTCTGTGAAAGTATCTTTCTTTTAAAAATTTAAAATATGTGCCTTATTCTGCTGCTCAAAAAAATTTTTAAGTCTTACTTTTGTCTCTTTATCCCGCCTCACCCCAATCTTATTCTAAGTAAACAAGTGATTTTTATTATTTTGATCTAATCTGCATCATATTTTCTATGTGAAGATTAAGTTTTTGGTCTTTTGAATTCAATTATAGAAGTCATTTTGTCCATATACATAGCTGTCTTGAAAGCAAAAACCATCATGTGATGAAAATCATGTTTCTGATTGGACAAGACCAGCATAGCTTGGATAATGAAGAGTTAATGGAGTCTTTCCCCTTGTCCAATTTGTTGCAGAGACTATTTAGCAAGACAATTTCAAATAAATATTTTATAAACACTGAGTTAGCATTTCAGTAGAGCTGAGATACAACTCCATTTTATTTTCAGAAAAAGAATGTTGCTTTTTTTTCTTTTCACTTACAGGATTTTAGCTTTGTACAAAGGTCTGCTTCCCAAGATTATGAGGCTTGGACCAGGTAAATATGTTTTTATTACTTACATCCTTCCTTCTTTATTAATTTGTAGGTGTATTTTGTGTGTGTGTGTGTATGTGTATGTGTGTGTGTGTGTGTGTGTGTGTGTGTGTCTAACAGCAACACAATAAAAGTTTATTCCGCTGTGAAAGGCAGAACTTGAGGATATAGAGTTGCCTATGAGTGTTCACAATACTCACTGTGTCCATTAGAAATGCTCTACCTTTGTGTATATGGTACTACTTCTGGCCTTGCTGGAGGCTGAGAGAAGCCAACGCCAATAGGAAAGGATCCACCGCCCGTGGGAGTTTGAGTGAACACCCACGTACACACATGCTGCCTTCTGACTGAAGGGGATTATCAGCGGGTGAGGGCCCAGCCCGATAAAGTTTTTTTGGTGCTCCTTCTTCTTGCTCCTGCTTCTGTTGCATTTCAGAAAGAGAAAAAGAGGCAGCCTTGCCTCCATGAGCAGCAAGAGCCACTTGTCCTCACAGTCGCCTCTGGGGAGCGGTGAGGTGAGCCTGGCGCACCTTCCTGGTCTCTGGCTGGTGGCGGAGGCTGCTGGCTCAGGGCCTCACCTCAGGACACCAGCCCACACACTCCGGCTGCCATTCCCTCAGGGAGAGTCAGCTGCCTCTATGTCAATAGATAAGAAAATAACTGCTACAGACTCAACCGCCTGGGCAAATAGTCTTGGATTATAAGCAGCCTTGTGAATAAGTACGGAAGTATACACTTTTTTTTTTTTTTTAACCAGGCCACACTCACCTACTTAGACATCCTGGTAATGTTTCCTAGAACCCGCCCCTCCTCCTCCCCTCTCTCCTTGTCCTAGTCCTCTGCTAACCGCAATGTCCTCCTCTCCTATTCCACGCACACACGTGCACATTTACCCTTAACTCTCAGCCCCATGAACCAGCATTCCTACCAACATGGGATATAGGAAAAAAGTAAATTGAAGCTGGTAAATAGTTCACACTTTTTTTATGTTTAGAAAACACTTCCTCAATTCCAAATCCATCTACCTGTCCCAAGTTTTCTAGGCATGTAAGCGTGGATTTTGCTTCACATTTGAGACTCAGACCTGCCTTCTGTTAGTCTTTGGCCCGATGGTAAAAGAAAGGACCCAATGATAAGAATATTTGTGATTTAATGCAGTTCTCTCTGTAAGTGGTGTTTTTCCTTCACCACACAGTAAAAACCTGCTAGTAGACCTAGCATTAGAGGAAATCAGAGACTGGCCCTAACCCAGCTTCCTCAGGAGGGGGTGGGCCTGGAAAGGGTGATGACCCCGGAGAGTTTAACTAAAACGGTAATTGACTGGAAACTTAATCCAACACTCTTTAAATAATCTGACCCCAAGTTTTGTTAGAGGCATGCAAATGTTTGGTTGGCTTTTTAAATGTTTTTGCATGAGGTATCCTGAGTTTTGGTGGTGTTAAATCCAGTGAAAAGGGTTGTTGTGGGTATACTATCCAAGCTAAACAACGCTGAGTAACTGGAAATCTCATTCTAAGACCTGGCCTTACTCTCATTCCAAACATGCAAGTCCTACCAACTTCAAAGAAAAGACAGGTAAAGAGAAAGGTAAGGCTGAAACTGGTTTGGCTCAGTGGATAGAGCGTTGGTCTGCGGACTGAAAAGTCCCAGGTTCGATTCCGGTCAAGGGCATGTACCTTGGTTGTGGCCACATCCCCGGTGAGGGTTGTGCAGGAGGCAGCTGGTCGATGTTTCTCTCTCATCGATATTTCTAGCTCTCTATCTCTCTCCCTTCCTCTCTGTAAAAAAAAAAAAAAATCAATAAAATATATTAATGAGAGAGAGAGAGAGAGAGAGAGAAAGGTAAGATTTTTTTCTTTTTTTTTTTCTTTTTTTTTCTTTTTTTTTTTTTTTTTTTTTTTTTTGAGAGAGAGGGAGAGCTCTTGTGCAAGCGAGCCTGGAATTTTCATTTTTCATTTCGGAGAAGCATTTTATCTTGTTTTGATAACAGCCTTAGCAACTCCATGTGGCTACTGATAGGTATCTCCCATGAAGGGAGAATCTTGATGTCTGTGGTTTAAACTTCAGATATCACTAGCCTGTAAACTAACCTGATTCTGTGTGTTCTTATCTTACATTGTGAATAGTTAATAAGAGTAAACACTGCAGTGACATACATGTCCACAGCCCTCTGCAGTGCGTTCCTCCTGGCTTGCCAGAGCGCCACGAGGGCTACAGCAGTGAGACGGGTCTCAGAGTATCTCCATGGGTTAAAAATGAAAATTACAGGCAGATAATTATCTTTGGTATAAGGTTACACAAACATGTGCAGCCTGTAGGTTTTTTTAAAAAGCATATGGCAGTGTGTACAAAAGAACTAAAATCAAGTTCTCTTTCTTTCTGTTAGAAGTCAGTCTTCTGTTCAGTCAGCCAAGTCTTCTGTGAGTTGTGCTAAGGATATTTATCCACATTTTTATTTTGTAATAGTTTTCATACAGACATGAAAGGAGAAAGAGGGATTGTCTTAAAGGACACAGAACATGTGTAATTTACTACATTACATAGAACACAAAGTTGCCCAGATACAAATGCTCTCCTGATCTCTAGGTGTTCAACAGGGTTGTACCTGTTTTCCTGTATCATGTTCCTGTTGACATATTACATAGCAAGCCTCTCTGCAGCCAGTTATATAACTCTTCTCTACCTAGACAAATGGTGCTCTTATGACACCAATCCTAGTACCAAATTTTCAAGTGCAATCCATATATGTCCAAGGCAGATAAAAGAAATGAAAACAAAAAGAGGTTGAAAGCTAGCTTGGTTTTACAACACATATTTTTTTAATAGTCAGAAGCTATTTTTCACATTGCAATCCAAGTTGAAAGCGGTACGAGGAAAGCAGCCTCATTCGTCAAGCACCATCTTAGAGATTTTCTTCTTGAGTGCAACTACAACAATGCTAATTACGGGCTGGAAAAGATAAATCCTTTGCCTACATATGAAGAACCTGAAGGCTTCTGTTCCCAGGAAAGCCACATGCCCTTACATGACTAGATGTCTATATTTATTTACTTTTAAAAATTAAAAATGCCTGAAAGGAATCTGATGAGAAATGATGAAAGTTACAGAAACTGGGGGGGGGGGGGGGGGGGAATGTGTTTGGAGACTCAAGATGGTCTTGATTTTGCTCTGAGAATTTTCCACAGTAGTTTTGTATCTATAGATTGGAGCTCAAGAACTGGTGATTCTGAACAGCCTCCTCCCGATGGGTTGCATGGGACTCCTTGGGGGGAGAGACAGCCCCGTTTTTCAGGACTGTGATAAAAGCCAGCCCTTTTCTCTCCCAGGTGGAGCGGTGATGCTGCTGGTTTATGAATATTCCTATGCATGGCTTCAGGAGAACTGGTGATGGTCTATGAAGTCTTTCTACCCCTGGAGATAATGCGTGTTTGCTCTCCAGCACCTTGAGATGATCAATCAGCTAATCTGATACAGTTATAAATTACCATTTATGTACAATTATAAAGGGGGAAACAGCCTCAGATCAGAATCTATTTTGACATTTCAAAAATTATGTCTACATAACTTGAGACTGTAGTTTTGGCTATATTCATAAAATTGTAAGAAAAAAAATAATATAAAGCAATTAGGTATGTAAACTGAATATGGAAAAAAAATAGTGTAGAAGTCATAGATATTTCATAAAAGCAATATAAATTTTGTGACCTATGTTTTATTTACCTTGGTTCACAATGAAAATCTATAGTATTGATCATTATTTTTCCCTAAGAAGCTAAGAAGTGCTTGAAATAAAATACAAAATTGAGCCAAAATTTAAAGTTCTTTAAGAATTAAACTCTTCCATAAATAATATTTAAAAGTCACAAATAAAGTATTTTAAAGGTGCACTAAAATGCCTTTTTAATATGTTCACTTTTATGTTAAAACTAGTAGCCCTGCGCACGAATTCGTGCATCAGGAGGTCTCTGCCACCCTCCTGTAGCCCCCTCTCCCCCACCCCCCGTAGCTTGCTGTCCTTCCCCTTCCTGTAGCTCTCCACCGCCCACTTGTAGTTTGCTGCCCCACCCTCCTGCAGATCCCTGATCCATTATGTGCTCAGTCATTACACCTACAGCATAACAGATAATTAGCCTATTCTCTTATTATATAGGGTGCAAATCTGTTCAGTTTTTTAGTAATCACATCTCAGCTATATTTTCCTAAATCTACTTTATATTTTGCACTGTTGCTTAAATCAGGTCATACTTTAAACTTCTGATATTTTAAGTCTTTTATGACAAATAGAAAACATGAAGTTATATTAAACTACTTTTCTTCACGTAGTTCCCTTTGAAAACAAGTTTTGTTGCTGAAATATGTTCATGTTAAATCACAAATTGAAACCACTTCTTGGGCCCATGTGTGCTGTATGTATTTGCACCCAAATGCCTTATTCAAAACTCTTACCCATGCCATTCTTAAAAGAACATTCAAAGTTAAGTGCATTGCCAGGTTACTAGTTATTGGTGACAGCTACAGGTGTGGAGTATGATATTTGCAGTGTTAAAATATGTATTATTCAGGAAAAATGTTTCAAAATAGTAGTGCATTCTTAGCATTTCAAAGGTTCCTGTACTAACATGCACTCCAAAAAAATATATATCTTCTTGGCCTTGATATAACCAAAAGATTTTATGTCTGCTTCCTTAAATGATGCTACTCCAGTAGCCAAAAGTCACCAAAAATATCTGCACATTGTAGGTGACACCTGTTCTTAACTATTTCTATGGGATATTTGTACCATGAGGCCATGTTATTAAAGCATTTTGAAAATAAAAAAATAAAAGATAACATGATAATTATCACTTTTTATTAATTTAGAGCATTTGAAGTATAAAAATAAAGGCTTTTTGACATACTGTATATACATACACAGCCTTCAGTTGTACATCTTTCCAGCGTGTTTTTTAATTTATAGTTCAGCCCAATGTTCAAAAAAGGGTCATTAAAAGCAGGAAAAAAAAAAAACACATGAGAAATAAGAATGTGTCTGTTATACATCTGCCTTCTATCCTTGCAGGTAATACTCTTGCATCCTGTGAGAGAGAGTACTGCCTGCACAGAGTCCATGAAATTGAACCTTTAACCTCTCCATGTGGACAGGATGGAGAAGGACCTCTGAAGAGTGCATTTGCCAGTTTAAAAAAATTTTTCACCCACTAAGAAACAGAGGAAATATGTCAACATTAACCAATAATAATAATAGGTTTTTTTTAAAAAAAAATCCCAAATCCCTATCTCATTCCATTTCCTTCTCTTGTTTTTAAAAGTAGCTTTAAATCATAATTGCTTTAAATAGCAAATTGTATTTGGGGCTTCTGTTGTCCCTTTAAATTTATTTCATGTGAATTCACTGTTGCTAAGAAAAGACCTAAAAGGGGAGGGAGAAAAAAAGAAAACTTTGATATCATTAATATTAGATTTTTTTAAAAATACAAGAACCAGAAAAATTATAAATAGCATAATAACAAGAGATTTCTTAATTTAGATAAAGAAAACAATACTTAGTTATGTTTCCATACAAACGATTGATAGTTTTTTAAAGACTCCTGATAGCCACCTAAAAACATCTGATAAGGAATAATTCTGTACCTTAGGTCAGTTCTTCTAGACGGCAGCAGAGTCCCTGTATGGGATGGTTTTAAAGTCTCCACCAAGATATTGGGTTGGCATCTTTGTTCCATTCGGTTTATAGTCTCTTTTCTCACCAGACTAGGAACTCCAGATGTCAATAGGAGTTTCACAAGATCAAAGGAAGACTATGGCCCTGAGAGTTCATTTGTTCCTTCTGCTTATTCTTCTCCTGAAGTTATAATCCTCTATTTGTAGCACTGAATCTCGGCTGCTTTAAAAAATAAATGCAGTTCAAAGTTCTCTATAAGATATCTGCTGCTTGGAGAAAACAATTCCTTGGACATAACTTGTATGTCAGAAATTGTTTACTGTTTATATCCTAGTGATTTGGAAACCTAGCTAATCTAGCCATCTGAGTATTCAAGGAAGCCGTGAAACCCATGGGATAACCATATAGGCTGATTGCCATATAGGCTGTGAACAGCACAGATAGGAAGAAATCGAAATCATGTACCTCGTCTCTCACTGCCCTACCTAGTGATGTGCCCTTTCAGTTATTGCACAGAATTAATACCAAAAACTTGCAATATATTAATTCTCCAACAGGTGAATTGTACCAATGTTTTACAAACATATGTTTAAGCCTATATTGCCAAACAGGAAGAATGTTCCAAACAGAAGAGATTAAAAACTAGAATTTTGCCCAAGGAAATCAATTGTGTTAAAATGCACCTCATAATCACACGTTCACACACACACATACACCCCCCAGCTCTATTATTAACATAAAAATTGATCTATAAAGATTTATCAGTTAAATGGTAACCTGTAACTCCAGAAATGAATAAAGGGAAATTTTAAAAATTAAATAGCATTTGTATTACTAACACCACCACCGGTTTACCTAGATGTGAAACATGCTCCTGTACAACAATGTAAACTTCACAGCAAGCCATTTTTACATTCATTAGAGCAGAATTTCCCATTTTCTTTAAATTGCAACATAATTTTGGGCTGAGATTGCTGAACACACAGGTTAGCCAACAATAACAGTACAATTTAGTTTCACAGTGGTTTTCTTAACATAAAGTTCACTTTAAGTGTCTTTGCAAAGCTTTTCACATTAAACGTTAGGTTTCTAAGTGGCTTCCTTTGGAGCCTTCTTGTTCAAACCTTTTCCACCTCGTCTTTGTATGTTTGGCATGTGTGTTGTCTGATTAGGTACAGAATGGGAAACTGGCTTGTTTTTTCTATTGTTGGCATCCTCTGCTGTAGAAAGAAAATGTCCTTCATGAGATGTGGAAGCCTTCCCTGCACACACAGAATTTATGGCAAGTCCAGATTCAGGAGCCTGAGCAGCCCACCACCAAACAGAGACAAAAACATTGCCAAAAAAGTCACCTTTGCAAGAAGAAAGAAAAAATAGAGGAGTGGGGAGGGGGGTACCCCCATGGAATGAAAACACAAATGCACCATCCAAAGTCCATATTTACAAACTCACAGAAATATAAACATTGTCATATTTGGAACCAAATCAAAATACTGGGAGGGGCTAAATCCAGATATTGCTTGTGTTATACATATATTCCTCAACAAAACAGGTCATCTCTTAAAAAATAAACAAAAGGATCACTCAAATCAACTATTGATTGGTTTCCTAATGATGAATTAAGGCTTATTTGGTCACCTGATTTGATTAGAGGGTGTAGCATGACTTTTTTCTATATGTATTTTCCTTTATTGATTTTGTGAAATCTCAACAATTGCACGTTTCAAGAGTTTAGGCTGATTTAGAATAAATATACACGTGTGGTTTTACCAAAGAATCATTTAAAAAGTTCCTTAAGCCCTTTGAGGGGTGCAGGTTTCTTCACTACATTAAAACAGTGTGTGGGCAGCACAAATGTCTCATTCAGTCCTTATTATTGCTCTTGTTTTTGAATCCTAACATCATGTCAGGTTTTCTGTGAAAGAGAAGTTATGGCAAGAAATATTTAAGTGTCATCAGCACAAAGGAGGTGAGTCTGTAAAACAGCTCTCCAGGCAGAAGGGAGGGAGGGGAGGAGGGTGAGGTCCGAGACTGGGGGAGATGGGGCGAGTGAGCTGAGGGGGCCCTGGTGGAGCTGCTGCAGACGGAGCTTTCCATCAGAGTGCGGAAGCTGTGACGGAGTGACTACCTTCTCTGGCTGCCTGCATGCCCTTGAATGCCAGCGACGCGGGAATGTCACAGTTGTGGGGGGAAAGTGGGTTGCCACTGGCATGTTGCCATCCGTGTCCAGCAACATAACCAGAAGGAGCAGCACTGTAGGTCATGTAAGGCGACACTTGGGCCGGGGTAGGATAAGGAGCCATGCTGGATGCTGACACAAAACTGCTCACAGCTGGGAGACCGTTTGGCGCCTAAGAAGAGTAGGAAAAGAGAAGAGGTGAAAATAACTGCATTACAGTAGTTGACATTTCCCAGGTTCTTATAAAAGCAGGCTGTAAGCTTTGAGGGGTAGTGGTTAACAATATTCTGATTCTACTTTCTGATTTTTTTTTTTTTTTAGATTTGACCTTAAGCATATTCTAAAGGCATTCACAGTGTTGCTATTTAAACAAACATTAGGCCAAGAGACAAGATATTATTCTTTCCACAGAGGTTATGAGGAGGCTATGACCAGAAGATTCACAGTATTTGCTTTGCTATTCAGAATTATAGGAAGGCAATGCTGGGTGAGGAAAGAATTAGTGGTGATTAAATACTCTTAGAATCTGTTCTGCTATCCATATGCCTTTGTCAACCTTCCCTGTACTTCGGTTTTGTTTGGCTCTTTTGTTGAGGCATTTATGAAGGGCCTGGTTGGTGTAGCTTTTGTTGCCAGAAAAAAAAGGGGGGAGGGGTGCACAGAACTTGGGCTGTCAGTTTAGAAACTCAAAATGAGAGCAACTTTTGCTAAATAAAACATGGACAGCATTTTAAAACATCATGTTGTGAATGCTTATTGGACAAAGGACATGTAAAATCAGTTAGTTTGTCGTTGAAGGGTTTTTAAAGGAAGATTGGGGGTGTTTTTTTCCAGAGCTATTTTATCAAAAAGGAAACTGGCTATTCAACCATAAAAGAACTGCATATGTGTGGTTTAGAAATTAGAAAATTTGCTTGCAAAGTTTCGAGGCCCCGTGACGTGAATTTTTAAAAGCCACATGGATAAATCTCTTGAAATGAATTTACGTGTAAAATCTGTTTGCAAACAAAATGCAGCAGCTCTGGCAGGCACATCTGCCTAGAAACCAGTACTCTGTTGGCATCCAATTATTGTTGGTATCGTTACTATTAACAACACTAAAAACACCCTGATTTCCAATCTTATTTTGGCATGAACACTCAATATCCTTCTTCAAATAACTTAATTTTTCCCTTTAGTTTCTACACAATTTAAAAAGAAAGAATAAATCCTTTTTCTTGGTAGTGATGTGAATGAATTCCATAGCAACATGTTTTCTAGTGAAAATAAAATGCAAATAATAAATTTATCATTAGTAGAACTGATTTAATCCTTAGAGGTAAGTAAAGCAGACAGTTGTTAATTAGATGCTTTTTCCAATTCAGTTGCAACATAGAAATTGTTTTCTGATTTAATTCATTTTGATATTAATTTCACTTCCACGTCTCTGAGGATGCAATGGTAGGATCTCAAAAATTGTTTTCTCAATTTAGATAATATTTGGAGTAGACTGCATACATGGGTGTGATTTAACTGAATTAAATTATGAATTTCTGGCAGTAAGAATAAAAGTAAAGAGATTAAACTTGTGTCCTTGGTCTGTAAAAGCATATACCTCATGCTCTGTTTGTCAAACTGCCTGTTCTTTAAAAAATGGGGAAGGAGAAAGGACGCTAAGATTTCTTGAGTATGTCCTATAACCAAGAAATATTCAACATATCTTATCAAATAATGAAGACTGTGTTGTACTGTTGAGTTTATAATAATTATAATATATACAAGTACAATACAATGTTGAATTAAAATTAAAATGCAATACATGGGTCCCAAAGGGTAATATGTACTTTTAAACAAAGAAACCATTGGACATCACTATTGAACATAAATAGTATTCTCTTTCTATACGCAATAATACAGGGCAAGGAATTTAGCGATTATCTCTAAGGCAATTGGCAAGTCGGTGGCCCTGTTTCAGAGAAGTTAACTCTCCTGTCTGATGCGGGATCTTCTGTAGCAAATATTCTTCTGCTTTTGCTGGACAATTAAAAGACTGAGACATAATTCCATCTCAAATTAAGGCATATTTTGAGATAATAGCTGGTAAAATATTCTTTCTTATTCTAGATTCTTATTTGCTGGATCCTCATTCTGTTTCTTAACTCCTAAAAAACATGTTTCTTTCTGAGAATGGCTCATTAGAAACTGGCTCACAGGGGCACTGTGAGGCTCTCGGCAGATGAGCGTGAACAGAGTAAGCTATCAAATTGCAGGAGAAATCTAGCATTGCAATAAGATTACAGTTCTGACCATGTTTATTTAGGATTTTCCTAATAACCTATGAAAAATTAGTTTGGAAAGGGATCACTCCAGGTCAGTTACAGAAAGATGTTTGCATCTGCGTTTGGCTTTTCTATCCTAGAATTAATTAATATATAGTATTATTGATGCACCAAGAATCATAAAATAAGAATATGAAGGTTAAAATGTTGAGGTTCAAATTACTTTTAAAATATAAAAAATCTTTTTGCTCAACATTTTACAAATACATAAGGTTAAACTACTAATATTATACATGACAGAAACAACACTCTGTGATTAGTAGAAAAAAAAACCTGCTGGTGTGTTTTCTTTGTCATCAGAACTATTTTTTTCCCATTCTTTTGACCTCTGCTTTTTTCTAAGATTTAAAATGACAGTTCTCTCTGAAATTCTTGCTTTGTCGTCTTCCCTTTCCCCACCTTACAGCACCTTGATTAGGGGCTCCTCCAGTGTTTTGTTGCAATGTCTGCAATATCCTTCCATGCACCCACTTCTTTTTTGCCCAGGACTGCTCCCCCTGAGAAACCACGCTGGAATACAGCCTGCCTTTAGAGTTCCTGGGAACTAGGGGGAGGCAGAACATTGGATGTAGGCCCGTGTTACCTTCAGGCACCTTACTTATTCTATGACTACATTTCTTCGTCAAGCACCAAACCTGCTTTTATGCTATTATTCTTATTAGTACAAACATTTCAAAGTTCTCTAAAACATGCAATACAGTTAGAGTCATTTTAGTCTCCTCTGTACTGCAGAAGAGAAGGAAAGCTGGGAGAGGTCTGATATCCACAAAAAGGCAAAAGGAGGCTAAAATGTTTGACTTTTTTTTTTTCAAATTTAAATAGTGTAAAAATAGCTCTGGACTTTCCCTCAGGTTAACTTACGGCGTAGATTTGGAGTGAAAAGTTTTGTCTTAATTTTTCTTTTTACTTTTGAAGTCCAGATTTAGAAATGTAGGGGGGAAATGGCATAAGCAAGAGAAGAGAATAAACATGCTTTAAAATGTAACTGCCACCTTCACCATTCATACTAGTGACTCATTAAATACATCAATTTTCTCACTATTAATTTTGAAACATGTCATTAGTAAAAGATATAAATCTACTGGGTAAAGTAATTGTTATTTATGAAGCAATCACTGAAAGAGTAAAATTTTCCACCACAAAGGAAAACAACTGCAGGTAGCATTGATGTTTGTTTATTCTTTCCAGTGAAAGAGTATACTTCTTAAACACCCCAAATCTGCTTAATGTTTTCAGTGAAGGATATGTAATTAATCTGAAAAGCTAGTTAGGCTGAGCAGAGACTACCAAACGTACGCCATAAATATAGTGGGAGCAAACATGCTAAATTACTCTATTTAATTGGATTGTAAATATGATTTATAAATCAACCAACATATGGAATCCCCAGGGAAGAGTAAACAAATTTTCCAAATAAAACCCCAGCATTGGGTATGTAATGGAAATCTCATTTTTGAAAATGACTTTACCTAAAGATTTCATAAATAAAACCTCAATCCATCAACCCCTTTTTTTTATTGCACATCTTCCTTGAAAGCAATGAGATAATCCTTATCTCCAAAGAACTGTACAAGAGTCCTCCCTGAAGCAAACTGTTAACTATTTAATTTTGAAAATGAGATTTACTAATACAAATCAAATTGAATAGATTGGAAAAAAGCAAGTCACTTGTTTTATTGAATATTTTTAGAAAAAGACAGATTTTATCTCACCAACATTAACAAAAATTACCTAGAAAAAACTACATAAAATGCAATGTAGTTTGGTTAAAGTTATTACAAGAATGAATGAAAAGTACGTGTTCGTTTCACTGGTTCTAAAATATTAGAAATATAGATTTTCCAACTCTTAATAATATAATTTTTAAGTGAATATATTGGTAAGTTGTATTGGCAAAGAGCTAGATTATGAACAGTGTGAGGACAGGGACTTGCCTTAATCATCTCATATCCCCACAAAACAGGACACATTATAGGTGTTTCATAATCATTTGTATATTTAAGTTAGTGCAACCTTTGAAAGCAAAACATGTCATATTCTTGCTTTTAAAAAAATGTAGGCACCCTTTATCACAGAACAAGTATTATACTTTAAGTAAGCAAAATGAATAAAGCTGTTGAAAAAAGTAAATAAAAGTTCTAACCTACCCATTTCATTATTTGGTTGATGGGCGTTCCATTTATCACCACCCCCAAGAAAATGGAAATGCATTAGTATTCAAACACTAATGGCCATGGAAAATAAAAACCGGTATGACAACTGCTTGGCAACTACAGGTTATAGATTATTCTTCAAATTCTGGAAATTGCCTATTCAACCTTTTCTCTTTTGAAGAAAATACAAATAGCAGTACCAAATCCTCTGTGGACAATCTTTTACCCACTCATCAGTTCTACCTAGTCCTCCCCTTATGATAAAATGAGATTACCTTGGTTTTATAATGAAATAGATTTAGCCACAAATAGAGATGTGCTTCACCTAAAATTTCAACCTCAGTATATATCATAAGCAAGAAAATGGTTCAGATCTGAACATAAACAATATTTTCTTTTTCGGTGAAATCATTTTTCTGACAGTCATTATAAACTTCCTAGTTCAATATGCAATAACTTAGCAAAACAAACCTGATAAAATCAAATGACAGTTGTAAATACTGTTTCAACTTTCACCCAAAGGATTTTATTTATGCTTAGTTATCCCTAAGCTGATCTACAAGTTTCTAGGTAATGGAAAACTGGTCATTTAAGTTTATTTTTCTAAATGTTATGTTTCCAAATGTTATTAAAATTGATGTATCCTTTAAAAAGTGTAGTCAGCTCTTTTGTATTTTATATAACACATTTAACTGACACATAATAATTAATTTTGTTTTAAAACTAATAGCTAAAAGCTAACTGGGTCAAAGAATATTTTATATAATACATAACATTATGAATTTCAAAGACTATTAGCATTTGCCTTTCTACAAAATGATAAATTTTTTACAGAAAATTAAATTAATTTGAAACTAAGACAAATCCAGTGCAAAATAACTTTTATTTTCATAAAAATAGTATGTCTACAGGAACAATATGTCTGCAAGGACTGCCTGTTTTCAAAATAATGCACTAGAAAGTTGTATTCAATTTTATTTCAAATTCAATGTGTAAATTAATGCTTCATAAGATGTTCAGATTAATTTATGCCTCTAAATTCAACTATTTTCATATCTCTAAACTTTTTCTTAATTTCAAATATTTATAGACCTTTCTTCATTTCTGACATCTCTATTTGTAGCTAATATTTTATTAAACTTGCTATCTGAGTTAAATATATAGTACCCAAAAATGAAAATACTCAAAACTTATAAATCTACCACTAAGATACTTTAATTAGAGTACCATATCTGCAATTTTTTTTCTGAGAAAGTTGCCCAACTGTAGAGCATTTTTCAAAATCTATACAACTATTTATAAACTGTTTAAATAAAATGAGATGTTGATTCACTAAGTCCCTGGTAAAAGGATAGTTATAGTCTAATCCATTATTCTCTATTTATATTTCTTTTGCCATTCAATTGCATTCAATACAGGTTTTATGATTTCAATAAAAAAGAGCCAGCCATTAAGAACCAGAGAACATTGTTGCCATTCAGAATTAGATGAGACTAAAGAATTCTAGCCCAATATATAATGTGGGTTAAAAAAAGACAAAATTGATAAATATTATTTTTTCATGTCCTTGGTGGTAGGAAATAAGGATTTATCAGTGGCACTATAAATTATCATTTACAGTATAATATTAATGTGTCAGACAAATTTTAATATTCTAAACTAATGTTTTAAAAACAAAAGATAGATGAGTGTACCAATGTATATAAGATTCTAATTACTAGCAATCAGGCATCTTTGCATTTAAAATGAAAATAGAAACTAGATTACAGTAATCAATTCTACCTACATTCAGTTGTCAATTCAGCCTTTGGGGTAATTTCACAGGTGTCTTCTGGGAATAGATTATGGTCTAAATCCTATAATTCTGAATTCTCAATTCTCTTCTTTATATACTAAAATAAAACTGGGATCATATAATATTGTACAATTTAATGAAAACTGAAAATGCCCTGAAAGTGTTATTGTAAAAATTTTGAGAATCTGTATATGTATGTGTATATATATGTATAAATATATATAACATCCCTTACCTTTGTTATGTTTAAGAGCAAATATAAATGTATAATTTTACCCTCAAGGAAATGAGTATCTAAATCCCAAAAATTCTGGTTATGCCTGTATTGAGGATATTTTAATTCCAGTGAATTGCTTAATTGTAGCTAGGTGTACATTTAACTTTTGCTTTAAACTGTGTTATTTTTCAAATAAAAAATAAATTCCAAAATTGCTCACAAAATGACAGCCTAAATTTGTGTCTACTTAGTACACCTGCAGCATTAAGCACTATTTTGGTAATTGTAATAGAGTAATGGCTGGTTTAATTGTCTCTAGAAACTTTCCAAGTTTTGAAATTTTACATCATTTGAATTATTTTACTGTATGGCAATGCAGAAGATTAGCATATTGCAATTAAGAACTTTCCAAATGTAAATTTGATATAATAAATATGGCTTTCTCCTGGGAAAAAATTAACTTGTTCTCTTAAGTATTTAGAACAATACTTCTAACCACTTGCTTCTTTAAACAACTTGTTTTTATAAATCTGATAATTTAGTGATTTAATATTCAGTGACTTAAATGTAATGGATTTTCAACGATCAGAATATACAGAGTAAATTATTCAAAACAGTGTTCTATTTTCATTTTAAATAGGTAAGTTTAGTTTTGAAGTGTCTGTATAGATGAGCATTTCTAAATAAGCTTAAATGCTAGATCTATAATTCAAAAAAGTAAAAATAGTCATGAAAGTTTTTGGATTGTGGCACTGCTATATATATATATATATATATATATATATATATATATATATATATATATATATATATCCTGGTTCATCAAATACGTGTGGGAATTATTTTTAACTCTATTCTTCATGATGTTATTCTAAGAAATGATGACCTAATAAAAATCACTGAGCACCTGTTAAATGCTTTCTACTGTGCTAGCTGCTTTTTGTGCTCCCCTATTGTTTGTAACAAAATACCTTGACACTTTTTGACTGTGAGGTCTCTGAACAAAGTATATTCTGGATCTGAAAATTGCTTGTTTTTAAAGGTTAATCTCTAGCCACCGCTTACAACCACAGGTAATATTTAATGAATGCTTTCTATGTGCCACGTGTTTGCATTATCCCACTGAATCTTTGCACATCTCTTGAGGTTGGAACTATTATTTCCCCATTTTACAGATGAAGAAATTAAGGCTCTAAATGTTTAAATAACTCACTTAAGTGGTGATGGAACTAGAAGATCGGAGTTCCTCCCCATTGCACATATTGCCTCTTCTTTACAAATTAAGGGCCCTTTAGTACAAGAAAATGACAAACTTTCTTGTAATTTCTCACTGACAGTGTCATAGTAGGAATAGATTCAGGAAAGGGACACTCTTTGCTGTATTTTCTCTGGTGTATATCATGAGAGAACTATTAATATGTGTCTGACTCTTTTTTTTAACAAAATAGGAGAGGAATGAGGGAGTGGAAATGGGTTTGTTAGAAAAAAATAACAACTAGGAATTCCCGCCCCCCCCCCCCAAGTGAATAAAGTAGTAACTTCCAGTTTCTCTAGAAAGCTGGTTTTTACATATAAGAAAACATTGCAAGTTTTATGACTTCAAAATAATGAAATGAAAGCTCAGTATTGGAGGCTTTGGGCCTGGAGTTTGAAATTAAGAAATGTTCAAACCTGCCCAGCTCAGCTCATCCACTCACAAAACCTTGTTTGTTTGTTTGTTTGTTTGTTTGTTTGTTTTTGAGAGCTTTGGCTTTGCACTCCTGATTCTAGCCTGGTGATAACTTTAGACTCCAAACTCTCCGGCTTTTATTATTGTGGTTGCTTCGTCTTTCTCGGAAAAAGAAAGAGAAAGGAAGGAAGGAATGGAAAGAAGAAACACGGTGGCTTAATTTTCCTTTAGGGGGGTCGGGGGAGGGACAGAGAGGGGAAAATTAAATGATCCACAGCCAGTCCGCATAATTTGAGGTTTTCTCACTAAGCTCCCTTGGGAGGCCCCGCCGTGCCTTGGAACGGGGGAAGGCCACCTGATTACGTTCATCAGGTCGCCCTCTTCTCGCTCCCACAGGACGCGTGTCCCCGGGGAGCGGGAGTGGGAGCAGGAGGCCCCGCGGTCGCCCCCACTGCCCGCAGCCGGGAGGCTGCTCGCCGGCCCCGGGAGCGCCCACAGCCCGGGGCGCTTCCAGGTCCCGGGAGGCCCGGCGGGTCAAGCCCGAACTGCGCCCTCGAAGGCCGGGCCTCCTTCCTGCCAGCGACCCCGGGACCGGGCTCCCGCTCGCCCCGCACCCGGCGGCCTCCGGCGCCCGCCCCGCCGCCTCACCTGGCCGTACTTGGCGTCCTGCTCCAGGGCGCCCTTCTCCAGCCCGTTGACCGCGTGCGGGGCGGCGGCGGGGAAGCTGCTGCGGCCCAGGCTGCTCCACTCCTCCACCTTGGGGCTGTGGTACGGGGAGCTGTCGCTCACTCCTGGGGAGAAGAGGGGCGTCAGGCTGGGCCCCCGACCACGCCGATCCCCCAACGCCCCCAGACGCAGCCCCGGGCCCACCTCCAGGCCCCGGCCCTCGAAGTTCACCGAAGTTCACCGCCTGTGACCAGCCTCTGCCTCACCCTCACCGGCAGGAAGGTTTCTTCCTTTGCAAAGGGCCTTTGATTTCCTCCTGGCTCTTGCAGAGAAGCCAGTGGAAGGAGCCTGAGAGCTGGACCAAGGTTTCCCCAAATCGGAGAAAGAACCAGCGAAGCTGGAGGAACCCTCTCCCCCACCCTAACCCCGCCTGGACTGAGCAAAACGCGGGGACAGGGAACAGAAAAGCGCAGAGGAGCGCGGGCCTACCCGTGCCGGTGCGCAGGCATCCAGGTCAGGGGCCCCTGCGGTGGGGACCCATTCATTAGGTCAATAGAAGGAACAAAAGACCTGCACGGTTCTTTGCAAACACGACAAAACGCTGCCTGCAGTCCATATGCAAAATATGTGTGCACAGGTTTTTGCCTTGCTGTGAGCAGCCTTGACTCCCCATCCCTATACATTAAGTATGTGAGGGTAGGTGCATATGACTCAAAAATAAATACTGTAATTGCCACTCTAAATACCACAGGTGTCAGTGATAAGTTATGTAGAAAGGGTTATTTTGTGTTTTTTTAATGATATAAAAGGTTAAGAAAATGAAAGTAGCCAAAACCGGTTTGGCTCAGTGGACAGAGCGTCAGTCTGCGGACTGAGGGGTCCCGGGTTCGATTCTAGGCTAGGGCATATTCCTTGGTTGCGGGCACATCCCCAGTGCGGGGTGTGCAGGAGGCAGCTGATGGATGATTCTCTCTCATCGATGTTTCCAACTCTCTATCCCTCTCTCTTTCTCTCTGTAAAAAAAAAAACAAAAACAATAAAATATATTTTTTAAAAGAAAATGAAAGTAGAACTAAGTGTTTTCTTTAAAAAAAAAAAGGAGTAAAATCATCAATTATCTTAGATGTTTGCTTGCTGTATCCTTTGTGTTCTTAATTGAGATGCAAAGAAAATCACATGGTGTAAACTCAGGAGACCACTCTACCAGGGGCTGTGGGGCTGTGCGTATGGAATCACTGGCTTCTTGAAGTGACAAAGTCCAATGTTAAGGAGAAGATGTTTGAAAACTAGGAGCAGCATGGGTGGAGGACCCAAGCTTGACAGAGCCAGTGCAACTTCATTTCAATCCCATCTATCTGACCCAGCGCCTGGAAGCAGTGATCATTTTGTAGAAATGGCCACTTATAGAAATAATCTTTATATTCACAGACTTTATATTCACAGACTTGCCAGAAAATAATTCTGGCAAGTCTGAATATATAAAGATTATTACCGTAAGTGGCCATTTCTACAAAATATATAAAGCTGGCATCCAGAATCAACAACATCTAGAATGAAGAGTTACTGGTCTCAACCACCCAAATACATTTACAACTGACATTTGATCTGACTGTAGGATCCCTAGGGGAAAAAAAGTTTGCTTTCAGCTCTGTCAGTCTTCTGTCACTGTTCCTCCCCCTCTCCAAAGAGTTACATTGTGTTCTACTTTGCACCAGGACCACTGTGTTTTGGCCCAGAACGGGCCAGTCACTCTGCCTTCCCAGACAAAAGGCAACTGGTAGGCACAAGCTTGGAGTTACCTTAAGAAATTGAGATCCCCCTGCGAGCTCCCATTTCTGCTGATCTCACACTTTCCCAAGCACAGGGGCTTCCTTTAAATGTCAGCGAGGTCAGTTTATCCTATAAATCAAGGGCAAACTCTCTCTGACTAAAGCCCCAACCAGCTCCGAATAAGACAAAACAGAACGCCTAGAAGGATCTCATAAATGCCCAGAGAACAAGAAGATGAGAAATTGGGGCTCGGCTTTAATTAAAAGATAATTGTGCCAATGTGGTGGTAACCAAGAAAGGCAGGAAATAATTAAAGAAACGACCCCCCCTTCCTATTTAATTTTTCTTCTGCACATTTTAAACTTTTGGCTGGGAAATTAAAGAGGTAGGCTCTTTATCTCTGCAATATTTAATTCTGCATCTAGGGCGTTTTGATTTCCTTTTCTCCACACCTAGAAAAAAAAACTTATGCTGTTTTTTTGTTTGTTTGTTTTGCTTTGTTTTAACAGTGCCTTAAAGGAAAACAAACTTGGAGCTCTTGAGGAAGCCAGAGGGAGCGGGAGGGCTGTGGAAATCGTTCTGGCCAAGCAGGAAAGACACTGAGGGCATCGCAAGGTCAAGGGTGAGAAAGGAAAGGAGCAGTGGGGTGGCACTGTTGAAAACGTGCAAGGACCAGACGTCCACTCGCATTTCCGGGGACAGAGGAACCCTACAAGGAAGCGGCAGGCGCGAGGAAAACGGGAGAGGACAGAAAAGAGGACAGCAGGGAATTGCCATGCATTTTGTCTCCATTACAGCCTTAGTTGGTGCCACTTCCTAAGATCATATATATCTGTTAAGTTAAGAGAGAGAGGGAGAAAGAAAGAAAGAAAGAAAGAAAGAAAGAAAGAAAGAAAGAGAAGAGAAGAGAAGAGAAGAGAAGAGAAGAGAAGAGAAGAGAAGAGAAGAGAAGAGAAGAGAAGAGAAGAGAAGAGAAGAGAAGAGAAGAGAAAGCACAGTCCCAGGATGAGCAATGCACTAACATGCAAGTTACTAGTAGTAACTTCGGGACCTCCGTTTCCGAGGAAAAAGAAGTGAAGCATAAGAATGAAACCAATTAGGTGACATTTGAACTTCCTGCCTGAGCAAATTTGGCCTGATTGCTAGAATCCTCAAGAAGAATACTGCAATTTCCACAGGGTGCCCGACTCCTCGAGGCAGCATCTGATCCCCAGACAGGCTGTCCTCGGCCGTGTGTGCAGCCTGCAGCCCTCCGCCAGCTCGGGTCTTCCGGGCTGCGCCCCAAGTCCGCCCGGCCCGGCCGCCTTCCCGGAGAGCGCGGGGCTGAGGCTGCCGCGGCGGCGGCGCGAGGGGCGGGGGAGGGTGGAAAATGCGAACCATGTGTCGGGGCTGGGGGGGGGGGGGGTATGGGTCTGGTAGTTTGAGATGAGGCAGGAGACTGTGTGTGGTAAGGAAACCAAAGGCATGAATTTCAGCTTAATGAGATCAGGACACCCCCCTGGGAGGACTCCTTGCGTTTCCAAAGGAAAAAGCCCCAGGTGGTGGGATAGACCAGTGCGGGAGCCGCGACCACGGAGACTCGTCGAGGGTGCGGAGGGAGAGTCTGCCCGGCGGCCCCGGAGCCTTACCTGGGTCGGTGATGGAGCGGATCCCCAGGATGTCGGTAACGGAGTGCGAGGAGGGCCAGGTGCGCGGCATGGCCACCGAGCCGGGGAGGGCGGGCACCCCGGGCGGCGTTGGCACCTTCGCGGCGGCCGCGGTGATGGGGCTGGGGTAGGAGTAGATGTGGTTGTAGGGCAGCGCCGGCTGCGGGGCGGGCTGGTGCTGCTTGTACGAGTCGTAGTGGCCCTGCTGGGCCAGGTTGCCGATCTTGTTGCGCAGGATGCGGCTGATGGAGCTCACCGAGGGCACGTTGTACTTGTCGCACACGCCGTCGGCCAGCAGGCGGTCCCGGATCTCCCAGGCGAAGATGCCGGGGTCCCTCTGCTTGTAGGTCCGGATGTGCTTCACCACGGTCGGGGTGGTGACCCGGGGCTTGCTGCCCCCGATGGCCCCCGGCAGGATCGAGCCCGTCTCGTTGTAGCGCGCCAGGATCTTGCTGACGCAGCCGTGCGAGACCCGGAGCTGGCGGCTGATGTCACACGGTCGGATGCCCAGTTGGGCCAGTTCCACGATGCGGAGCCGGATGGCGTTGGGCAGCGGCCTCCCGTTCACGAACACTCCTCCCAGCTGGTTCACCTCCCCGAAGGCCGGCTCTGCAGAACAAACACAGGGCGCGCGGGGACGCGCACCCGCTGTTGGGGACGCCGCCTGCCGCCCGGCCTCCGCGCGCCCCGGGGCAGGGCGGGTGCCACAGCCCGGGGGCCCCCGGCTTTCCTCAAACCCCACAGTCCCCCGGGCTTTGCTGACCGGCCCCAGCCAAACCGCCGCGGCCAAGTCAGACCCCCTCCCTCACCCCGGCGGTGCTCGCAGCCGCTAGGAACAGATAAAAGGGGTGAAACGCAGGGCCGCTTCGAGTGTTCCCAAGTCTCCGAAGCGGGTGAGGACATCGATCTTGCGCCTGCAACCCGCTCCTTCTCGGCTACTCGGCTTGGGCCGCTCCCCTTGACCCCCAGCGCCCCTCCTTGGGGACCTGCGCAATTAATTAGACAAGGTCTTGGGGAAAACGGCAGGGTTTTTGTTGTTTTTTCTTTTTCTCTTTTCTGGTTTTTTGTGCGGGCGCATGCATGTGAAACAAAACTTGGTCTGCCACTGGGGCTGCGGGGCTTGCCACCGCTCCCTTCCCTTAACATCAGAAACCAGCATCACCAGCAGCCCGGTAGCCAGCGTTTAGACTGAACTGCTGTGCGCCTCTGACCCTTAGCGTGTTCCTACAAGTTGTAGGAAAACGAGCAAAGTCAATACGGAAAGTGTGAACGCTCAAGGGTGCGCGCCCTCGCGCGCTCTCTCCCTCTCTCTCTCTTTCTCTCTCTCTCTCTCCTGCTCCCTCCCTCCCCGACTCTGACAGCGGCCCCCGCCGCCACTCACCCATTGCTCCGAGCAGCACACCGGCCGGGCCCCAGTTCCGAGCTTCCAGGGAGACACTTTGCGCCCGGCCTCAGCGTCCCAGCCCGTCGCCACCCCGGGCCGAGGGTGCCTCCGCTTCTCTCCGGGAGGAGGCGGCGAGAGTGCAAAAGGAAGGAGTAAAAGGAAGTCTGCGCCCCGCAGAAAGAGGCTTGAGTTCTGCATTTCAATCTAAGCAGCAGCGTGGGCTGGGCTGAGCGGGCCGGGCGGCTCCGTCTATCACTCACCCCGGACACGCCCCCCGGGGAGGCGGGCCCGAGGGCGAGCCGCGCGGTGATTGGCGCGGGGCGGTGAGCGACGGCGCCGTCCGGAAAGTCCTTCCGCCGTCTCCCCGAGCCGGATAAGCACCTGGTGACTAAATACAATGAAATTTGATGTTTGACACCTTCCGAGGAGCAGCGCAAATAGACAGCAAAATTATGCTGATGAAAATGCTGAACACGCAAATTAAAGCGTTTGGTCCCCATAGGAGGGACTCAAAAAGGGAAGGAGCTAAGGAGACTTCTTTAGGGGACAAACGTCTTAGAATTAGTACCAGTGGACACCACCTCAATCCACCTCAGGTGGCGAAAGCGCGGGAATGGGAAGATAAGCTCATGGTAGAGACCAGGAGGTTGAGGGGAGGCCGTGACAGAAGTGGGGGCCACACTTCCCGCCAGGTGCCAACCCCTCCTCCGCCCCCAGACCAGCTCCGCGCAGCAGTCTCTGCAGGAGGGCTCATGCGGGAGAGCGGGGCCTGATGTCAGCCACGCAGACTCCAGGCGGGGCCATGCTGGGTGCAGAGACCTCAACCGCCGGCGCCTAAAGCCCCCCTCCCCACGGGTTACCTGGCGGGGGGCACCCTCACGGGAGGCCAAAGCACCGCTGCGCTCAGCCTAGGTGCTCAGACCTAATATTTGCCGATCCCCCCCCCCCCTAGTAAACCACTGCAAAGGAGTTTTGTTTAACCATGGAAGAAACTTGGTCCCAAGATGAATACCCGGCCTGCATGTGTGTGTGTGTGTGGCGCGCGCATCGGTTTAGCCACCAAAGGCCTTGATGTTCGTTCAGCCTATCTCTTGAGTTTCCACATTCGTTCACCCTAAATCTCATCTAAAGTGCAAAGTGCTCTTTTTGGTGGCCTAAATTATTCACATCTTGAGTGTGGGTTTTGGAGAACAAAATTTTAAAACCATGTGGGGACCATGTTGCGTGGCGTTGGGAGCTGTGCCGCTTCGGGTCTGTGATGCACACACTGCTTGCTACCTGACTGTGGTGATGCTCCTTGGGGGCACACAGGATTCGGGCTGATCCTCCCACAGTCCCCAGGCCTGTGTGTGACTCTGGTCTGCACACATAGGGAAGCTGGCTGGGCCCAGACCCCAGGGCAGTGAGTGACAAAAACTAATGATCAGTTGCGCTTTTTAAACAGAAGAGTAATCTCCAGATCCTTTCTCTCCTATGGTGCGCGCGCTCCAAGTCCAAATTTACAGGTACGACAAATTCGAATGATAAAGGAAAGATGACTGCAAACATAGTTAATTCTTTATAGTCGTGGTCTTGCGGGAAAGTCCCACAGCGAGGGCCTTCTCACTGGGTCTGAGTCCTGGAACATGTTGTGTGGCACCAACAAGCGCTTTACAACCAGGAGGTCCTTCGGGAATCCAAGCAGTTAGCACCAGCGCTGCTTCTTGGGGCTGGAGTGCAGATCAGTTAACACTGCGACGTCTCAGGAGCGCTTACAGTTCGCCTTAGGCTTCTTTGGAAGAATAAACATGCTGGGTGTCTTGACCCCTCACTCTCCTCCCTACTCTCTCCTCCCCCAAACACAGCCACCTGCTGTGGCGGACTCAAGCGCTCTCTGAGCCCAGAGACTGTCCCTCTGACTCCGCGGGGCTGCGGTGTCCGCTAAAGTTCCGCCTGGGAGCGGCAAGACCCAGTGCCCTGCTGTGGGTCTGTGAGCTCTGCGAGGGCTTTAGGGGATGCACAGGACCAGCCCAGAATGAGCCCCAGACTCCTATTGTGAGGGTTCCTGCTAGGTGGACCTGACACAACCCCCTCACATTCCCTCATCTCCTCCATCAGCCTCATTTCCCGAGCTTGAGCAGGTCCCGCTCTCTCTCCAATTCCACCTGCTGGACTTGGTGTCCGCCGCGCGCACGCAATCGCGGGGCAGTCTGAGCCGCGGTGGACCCTCTACCCCTCTGTGGTGGCCCCCAGCCCGGCAGGACCTCATTAGGCCTGGAATGGGTGGGGGACAGTGAGGTTAAGTGTTGCTCTCCGCCCTACCCATTCCCTGGAGCAGCACTAGAAGCTTTGGTGTTTGGTGATACTAAGTATCCCAGCCGAGGCTGGGGCTCCTGGGACAAGAGGAGCTAAAGCCTCAGGGGATCCCAGATAAGAGGGCGACGCGGACCTCTCCCGGGGCGCACGCTGAGCCAGGGAGCTGGCCACCCCACGGACAGACAGTGACCTGGCAGAGAGGAAGGGAGAGAAGGTGGAGGCAGAGAGAGAGGGAGAGACTGAGGGATAGTAAGCCTCCTCGGTGGGCCTAGGGATGTCGGGGTGCGGAAAAGAGCGAGGTCAGCTGGGCTCAGTGCCCCCTCTTTACCGCCCGCTCTGGAACCGGGAGATCACACGGAGATCAGAAGAATTTCGAAGAAAAGAAATTTAAGACCCAAACCAAAACACAACCAGTAGGGCCTGCAGCTGAGGAGGAGCCAAAAGTCCTTTCCAGGGCGCTGTCAGGCCTTCTCTGAGGGGAGACCCACTCTCTGGGTAAATATTTACTTAGTGGGAGACTGGGAACTGGCCCGGCGGCGGGAGGGTGCGAAGCAGGGGCTACAGGGGGTGGAGAGAATCCGTGAGCTCAGCAACCGGACACAGCTGTACAAGGGCCCTAGGTGCCCAGGACTCCAGCACTCTGGCCTGGGCACCCAGCTGGGAGAACTTTAGCCTGCAATGTGCCTTTTTTACCCTGTCCCTGCGCGCCGAGGCCAGACGCTGCAAAGTCTTCACTAATCTGCCAGCTGTCCAGTGCCTCTGGCCTTTACCTGCGGCGCTTCCCTCCTCCCTCCCCCTCCTTCTCCACTACCTTTAGGCCTAAAGGTGTCTGAGGGAAGATGCGGAAACTGATTGGAATCTAGATCCTTCCGAGGTCAGACCCGGGCGCTAGAGGCTGAGCAGCGACCCTGGAGCCCTGCAGCTCTCCAATCCTGAGTGACGGACGCCCTGGGCTGCTCTGCGGGCGCTTGCACCCCAGGTCTGCGAGTCAGCGAGGCCTGGGAGGGAGGAGTGAGCGTGTGTTTGCGCCGGAGCGGGGTCCTGCTGTTCCCAGGGCACTCTGGAAGAGCAGAGCTGGCAGAGAAGAATGTGGAGGAACAGATTTCTCCCACTGCCCCCCTGCTAGGAACAAACCAGACCCGGGGTGAGGCCCGGGCGATGGGAGTTGCAGGGACTGGAGCAGCCGGAATCTGAGCTCCAGGATGGGTTTGGGAAGCACAGGGAAAAGCAGTGTTTTTAGCTGTCTAGCGGTGGAGGCATCCGGTTCCCCCAAGGGAGAACCTCTCCTAGGGTAGGTCAAGGATTGTGCGCGGTAGAGAGAGAGAGAGAGAGAGAGAGAGAGAGAGAGAGAGAGAGAGAGAGAGAGAGAGAGAGACGATTTCTCCAAACTATGTTGCCAACGCCCCGGCGGTTGGTTTCCATCCCAATCCGCCTACTGCTAGGTCCGGGCCTCTTCTAAGGGTCAGCGGCTGCTCCTCCCCCATCTTCCCATCTTGCTTGACCTTCTAGCTACTGAGGCCGCAAGGGGCAGCGGGCAGCGCACCGGGTCCCCAAGGCGGATGAGGGTCCATCCTGAGCTGAAGCCTGGCGAGCGGATCTGCACTTGGAACCACGGGCAGGGGCCGGGGCCCGGGCAGCGGCTGGAGGGAAGGGCCAAGGGTGAGGGAGAGACAGCCCTCTGGGGCCCTCAGCCCAGCTAGGCCGGAGGCGGGGGAGGGGGGGAGGAAAGGGAAAGAGGGGAACGGGGGAGGGGTAGGCGGGAGAGGAAGGGGTGGCGGCACACTGACCTGCGGGCCCTGGGCTTGGCCGGGTTGCGGACGCCTCAGGACACCCAGCCCAAGTAAAGGCCGCAGGGGTCCCCCAAGAGGAGCCCGGACAATTCTCCCAGAGTCGCTGGGACCTCCCTGGTCCTCTCCGCCTTCCAGCCTACGACGCTCAGGATAAAAGACCCTTTCCCCAGGAGGCGGCAGCCCCCAAGTCTTTGCAGAGAGCAGAGACCCTGCTGCGGGCCGTGGGCAGGCCCGGGCTGCGCGCTCTCCGCGCCGCTGTCTCCCTCCGAGGGCGGGGAGGGGCCTGCCACCGCTTCAGCCCGCTTTTCATTCCCCGCCCGCCTGCTTTGGAGCACTCGGGGTTGGTTTTTCTGTTTGCTCACTCCTTCTGTTACAATGAAAACAATCGACATTTCTGTTCGGTTTCCCCCTATTAGCGTCACTCAGTAATTGTTCTCACCCCCTCCCCCCACACGCTGAAGGAGCTCGGGATGGCTGGTATCCTCGCACGGGAAGGTTTCCAAATATATATATAAGCAATTCTCCCCTAAAGACTTTAGAGTAAAAATAAATAACGGCCCCGGGAAATTGCCGTGACCCTAGCATCACTTTCCGAACGCAAATTACACCCATTTTTCAGTTTTCAACAGCGGAATTGCTTTCAGAAGGACTGCGCGGGGCCCTGGGTGATTCGGTTCCATTTGTTTATTAGGTCCGCAAGTGACAGAGCACACAGTTCCATGCAAAAGGGCAAAACTGTGGCTTCGGGGCCGCGGGTGCGGTCAGGGATGGACCTGGGCTCAGGAAATTGGAGGATCCCCGCGGGGAGGCCGAGCTGAGCCTCCCCCAGAGGGAGGAGGGACCTCACCCCGCCAGGGCGAAGCCGCCGCAGTGGCCACCGCCCGCTCCCCGCTTGGGAGCACGGGAGGGCGCCGTC